TGATCCCCTTTCCTCTTGCAATGAGAGAGGGGCGTAACAGTTGATGGGGGGGGGGCTTCGCCCAGGGCCTAAATTTCCTTGTCAGAAAATGTAGAAAGAAGGACTAAGTGGATGTCTGGGTGATGTTTTTGGCCAGGTGAGGCTAATTAGAATAGGTAATAGGTTATTGGCGAAAAGTCATGATGATTCTTCTGGTTCTCTTCTTACTTGAAAATTTCAAGTTGTACAATTTTAATTTTGACCATATGGCTGCCTCTGTTATCCTGAGTTACTGCATATTTTTGTTTTTTCCCCAGTCTGTCAAGCAATTATGAAGCTCAGATGAAGAGTTTGTTGAGGATTGTGAGGATTTTTTGTCATGTCTTTCGTCTTGGCCCGTCCACTCCCAATAATGGAAATGACATGGGTTACAATGGAAATAAGACTCCGAGAAGTCAAGTGTTCAAGGTCAGAAAAGTAATTGACGGTATTAGGAAGATAGACCTTAAAGAGGTGAATTTCACAAAGCATGCATTCATTAAGCAGGCATCTCATGAGGAGGAAGTAAGTCTGGCTGATACCCATTTTTAAGTTGGGACCACTTTTTTACCCTTACAGCATTTTAAGTGTTTCTAATTAGCTATGTCTTATAATAATCTTTCTTTCCATTACCCTTTTTCACCTTGTGTAGCATGAAATTGAGTTTTTATGTTTCCAGGTACAAGACTTCATCCAGTTAATTTTGTTGCTTCTACCTAATTGTGGCTGTTAAGATTGCTGCTGTTAGAATTTTGTGTGCTTGATTCCCCTTCCCCCTGCAAATTTCATGGGTAATGTTCACAGAGAAACTGAAGCAGTACATCTGTTGTGTGGGTGACCGTTTTGTGCCGGACTTCTTAGTTTTTCCAGTTTCCCCTTTTCATTATTGTAGGTATTATATAGTGATGTATAAGTATGACAGTTGTAGTACCTTGTACAGTGGGGTGTGCAGTCGATCTACCTGAATCAAAAATATACCCAAATACTTTCATATTTCAGCTTCCCAAAGGTATCTGGGTTTTCTTGGGGAAACCAGAAAAAAAAAACCCTGAGAAAATCCAGGATATATTCAGGAATTCCCAGGGAAATTAGAAAATAGTGGAGAGGCGGGAGAAGATTGCTAAGTGCTTCTCAGCTGTTTCTCGGGCTTCTGGTGCAGTCTCTTTAAAGTTTAAAGGGGCTGCAGAAGACAGCCTGAGGATCAGCTGTGCTGGCGGGAGCAGACAGTTCCTGCTGGCTTGGCTTCGGGTTGGATTCATGTGCAGTCTGGTTTAAACTGGGCTGCAGGATGCAGTCTGCTAGCCACAGCACAGCAGATCCTGGGCCAGCTTCTCCTGCAGCACAGTTTAAACTGCGCTGCAGGAGAAGCCATCCCAGCTATGTCTGCATGCGGTGGGGAGAGACCTCCACACGGCATGCATATCCAGCTTCTCTTTCAGTGCAGTTTAAACTGCGCTGCAGGAGAAGCAGAGCCATCCCCAGGATCGGGGTGGCTTTTAAAAAAACTAGTATTTTTCTTCTTAGGCGTATTGGCCCGAAAAAATTTGGGGGTTCCGAAACATTCCAGATCTGAATACTATACTGGTATTGGAATCTGGGATTTTTCAGTTCCAACAGACTCAAACCAAAAATTACTGATTAAAAAAATATTGCACACCCCTAATGATATTAAATTTGTGACCTGTTTATAGAAGTAATCAAATATTGTCTGCTAAGGTGACTATCATCTTCTTCCTGTAAAATGTTGTCAGATTTTCCTTTGGAGAATATAAATTGCTTAACAACTAGTGTTTATGATGTCTATTAACTGGTATGTACAGTTTTAGCCCTTTGTGGGAACCCTCTGTAGTACCACCAGCTCAACAACGTTGCCATGTGGCAGGGATATCTTCAGAGTGCTTTGAATGTTATTCAGAAAGTCAGAGACCCTATTTGAACCCCCTTGATCAAATGATTCCTCTTCTGTCAGTGCAGCTTTGCTGATGGAAGAAACATGAAGGGCAGTTTCATTCCCTCCTCCCTCTTAACTGCAGCCCACTAGCCTGTGTCACTGTTACTCCATGTGGGACCTGCAAGCTCAGCAAATCAATTTTCTCAGGGTTAGAAATGACTGCTGGGTAGAGAGTAAATAGGTGAAGATCTGCAATCATTGTGCAAGATCCTTGTTTGAGTGGGCTGCTAGATCCAGCCCCAATAATGGTGGGATTTTACCCAGATTTTCTTTGGTTTGTGATAATAGTGGCATATTATTTTGAAAGACATTCCTATCACTTTTTTGAATGGGAAGTTGAGGTTCTTAGGGTTTATTTAATCAAAATCACAAACTGGCATTGTTAATTTACTAATTGTATATGCAAAAATATCTATTTTATCATGCGAGATGGTCATCACTGACCAGTCACTTCAACAATTCTGCTTCAGAGTGCTGTAGATCCTCATTGACAAGGCTGCGTCTTTATAGAAACAACTGTATGAATATTTGCCTTTGCTCCTGTGCATATATCTGTTTCTGTGAGTTTCAGTGTTTGTTCATTTGGAACATTTTGTTCTGATTATCTGAAACTGTGTTTCTTTGCTGATGCTTGAGTATGATGCTGAAAAATGCTGCTGCAGAATTCTCCTCTTGTTAGGTGGTTAAATGTGGTAGAGATCCCTGCATGCCCAGCTGGTAGACTTTGGATAATTCTCTTTTGTTTCTTCTTAGTCTCTTGCCTTGACACTATAGTTCTGTCTTGTCTGCTAGTTATATATGTTTGTTAGCAAGGTCTTGGTGATGTGTCTTACTTCTCCAGCCAGGGTAAACTGAAGGTTGCGGCTTACATTTTATTCTTTACATGCATTTTCAAAATGCTACTCAGCTAATAATGGCTGGAGATGCACATCTTTGAAGTGTTGGAAGCGGTAGATGCAACTAACTCATGAATATCTTCCCTCAGAGTGCCCATGGCTAGGGATGGGCACATTCGTGTCTGAACTGTGAACTGATAGGCCAGTTCACAAACTGAACTGGTTCATATCAGTTCATGAGCCATTTAAAGTTAAACCCCTCCTTTCTGCTCCCTGGAAAAAGCTGCAGGGAACAGAAAGCAGGGGTTTAAATGGCTCCGAGGTGTGCCACCTCCAGCTTTCTCCTCTCTGCTGCTTTTTGTGGCAAGCAAAAAGCAGTGGGTGAAATGGCTGGGTGGCTTTTCGTAGGGAGTAGAAAGCTGTGGTTTAAATGGTTCTGAGCCATGTAACCAAACACCTGTTTTCTGGTCTTCATGAACTGCCATGAACTACATCAAAATTCATGGAAATTCATGGCAACTCTTCAGTTCATGAACACTTGCTTTCTGAACCACAAACTGGCCGAAATTCATGAGGAACTTTAGTTCATCAGCTGGTTCGTGCCTATCCCTACCCATGGTCATGTCTGACAATTCTGCTATTAAAAGACCAAAAGATATTTATGGCTGCCTCCCTGCATGTCTGTATCTGTTTAGACTGAGCTGAACACACAAAAGGAAGAAAGTTTGTTACTAAACAGCTTTATAGCCAGCTGGAGGAGAGCATGTATGTTTGGGACAGTGTTGTTCCCTGGCCTTGTTCCTTTAACTTCTTTGCACTAGTATCAGTTTGCATAATAGAATGGGGGGAGGGGGAATCAGTTGGCAGATTAATCTGTGCAAGGTCAGTGGTGGTGACTATATCCAAAGTCTCTCATAGTGCAAGAGGGCATTCTCATAAAATATTCTGGTGCACTCCTATGTGCCAGCAGGGCTCATATTGATGGGCTTGTTTGGGGTCACCGTAGCCCTCCCATCAAGCAGCTTGAATGCCAGTAATTTTTAAGGAACAAAATAAAACTGCAAAACTTGGCCAAAGGACAACATTGGTACTCTTGTTTTCATTTTTTTAAATCATTTATTGCTTCTCCCCCAGCACATATGCTTTAGGGAGTTTGAAATAAGAGGCCTATCTTGCTTTGTCTTCTATACAACCTATTAGAATTGTAACAGTTTTGCAACCTCTGGCTATGACATTCAGCATTCTGGTAGAAGTTCAGTTTTTGGTTTTGTGTTTAATTTCCCTGGTGTTTTGCAGCCTCTGGAATTACTCTGGCACTCATTAGATGAATGGCTAGCTCTAATATCAGCAGAACTGATGAAAAACAAAAGGGACTCTGCCAACATCACTTCCATCTTACTGAAGCAAAAAGGACCAGACCAGCATGATGGCACTCCTACTCCTCTCTTTGATGTTGCTTCATCTGAGAAGAGCAGAACGCTACCTGCAGACACAGGGGACTCTAAAACATATGAAGTTGGCAGTGCACAAGAAGCTTATGCAGATTACCAGGATGTTATTTCTGTGACAGCAAACCGCTTGAGCGCTGTCATTCAAGCATTTTATATGTGTTGTTCCTGTCAGATGCCTTCGGGGTAAGCAGGATCTGACTTTCAGTCCTTTAACGTTCCTACTTCCAAATAACTCTTAACTTTGGAACACAACTGATGATAGTTTTAAAGCAAGTATCAATTAAAGGGTTGCTTCCTGCCAGGTAATTGCATGTCTTTTGAAACAGGAGTCTCTCTCAGCTGTTGTGATGGTAGTGAAGCAGCAGACAAACCCTAAAACAAAACCATGACATTACTTAAGGATATGGTATATGTCTGAAATCTACTTTAACGTCTAGGATGTAGATCTTTAAAAAAACCCTAAAGAGAAATGTCCTTGGTGATAATGGCCAACCCACTTCTGGGTTTCTGTTTGTGTCCCATCTGTCTGTGCTGGTACTAGTAAAATATGATTCCCTATAGGAAAAGATTCCTCATGACCGTGGTTTAATTTGACTTCTGTGGTAATGGTGCACTGACAGTATCATTCTAGTGATGCTGATACTAGGCCAGTCTAGATGTATCATAGCCAAATATGTGGAATGTGGCTTCTAACGCCAGATGTACTGGTAGGTATGGGGTTTTAAATGTGTGCATTTAAATAGGCCATCAAATGCTTAAGAACCTGATGGGGACTGCCTTGGTGGAGCTTCTAGTAACTGGGATATAGCAATAATTCCATGCACTTTCCTGAAGTTTCCTATGCCCCCTCAGTCATTATGTCTTCATACTTTTTAATCAGCTGTTCCGAAGAATTACAACTACCCTTGCTAGTCTATAATGTATGTCCAGGTTCTCCCCATCCACATTGTTTGAACCCATTGAAGTCTTACTGATTATTGCTTCATTGGCTGTATAGGATAGCTAAGACAAGGACAATGTTAAATTTTAGTGTGGTTCATGTAGCATATTAGCTTTTTAAAACATTGAACTGGGGTCTATAATTCTTTAGCTTCTTAGAAGGGAATTTTTACTGTGTAAGTTAATGTTCATTCAGTACAGGAAAACTTCGAGATTTTACAGGAAAATGGAGGCCACAAACGTAGCTTCACTCTCCCCTGCTCTTGATTGGGATTTGTACTATCTCAGAAAGAAGTACATACCTTCCTTATCCTTGTGTGTATTGTATGAGGCCAACAAAGTGGATTTGTATACCCAATCTTTGTAGGTTTCTGTCATCCGTAGTAATGGAGAACATCACAAGAAAACATGTTCAGCATATCTGGGTACCCAGAGTCCTGAAGTAGAGCTTTTGGTCATTCAAAATAATTGACACGTACAATTCTGTGCAATGCCTACAGAATTTTGAACCTAGAAATGAAATTTAGTGAATGTGAAGAAGTATCAAAAGCTTGTTTTGTTTACTTGATTTTTACTTACACCCTTTGGGGTTCACATATTTTGAGGGATGGGCAGAATTTAGAAGTTTCCAGTACCCCTAGAGAAAGGGTAGTAAGGATTACTAGAGAATGTGGTACAAACATTTGAAGTCATAAGGTTTGGAAACCACACAAGATTATAATTATCACGTGTATCTACCTTCTCCAAGAATCTCTAAGATTCATATGGGAGGTATTAATTTAATACTCAGAATAACAGTATATGGTAAGGGAGCCTGAAAGAGAATACCAAACCATGGTTTGGCACTGTGCAACAAGCCTAGAAACCAGAATTGCAAACTGTGGGTTGATTGTAGTTCGTAATTCTTGTTTTTAAGCAAACTATGGTTTGTAGGAGCCAAGTCTACCTAGTCTGCATATAATAGCAACCTGGGAAGTAGGAAAGGAAGGAGGGAACCGTAGTGCCCAAGGCAAGGTGAGAGGAAGGATGGAGCATGCGAACCTGATGTTCATTTGCATAACAATATGTTTGTACTGTCCCAGAGAATGTGGCCTAAGGTTACCTAGTACCTCTTCCATTATGTTTTACATGAAGATATTGTAGCCGTTAAACTTCTTCTTTAAAAGTAACGTTCATAATTCTTCTGCAGTCCTTTCACAGGTAGGTTTTGTGGCACATTTGACTAAATACCACCTTTCCCATTATTTCCCTATATTAGACAAGAGCTATAGCGTATTTTCAACACATTTGCTTTCAATTAATGAAACTTTCAGTTGCGCTCAATGATGATATTGTTATGTTATTTTAGACCTCAGTACCTTGTTAATTTGCATGTTTCATTTCAGAATGACATCTCCTCGCTTCATAGAGTTTGTTTGCAAACATGACAACGTTCTTAAATGCTTTGTAAACCGGTATGTTAATGAAATGTTTCTTGTTACACTGATAACTTCAGACTATGATGTATGGTTTCAGATAAGTCAGCCATTTAGCTTATCATGCTTATCATGCTTATCTGAAGTTTAATTTTAATGGAGAATAACATTGAAATTAATGGTGTGTTTTCATTCTAGTAAGGAATATAAGGCTGGAGAGGATATAGACTTATTTTGGCTCAATTCAGATCAACCTATGGTTTAGTATGATCCATACTGATGAACTATGGCTTGTAATTAATTAGCAGACCAGAATCAGAAACTGTGGTTTGAACTGAGTTTGCAAACCATGGTTTATGCTAACTATATGAAATGATGAATTATGATTGCAAAGGTGATTCTGATGCCAGAGGTGGTTTTACAGAAGAGATGGAACTGTGGTGTTCAGTGCTGAACAAAGGCAGGCAAGTGGCTCTAACCATGGCTTGGTTCTGAAACTGAGTAGACTAGTAGAGCATACCATGATTCAGCATGATGTCACGTTCTTGTGTCTGTGCCTTCACAAAGGGGCCTTTAGGGAGTCTGTCCTTCCTTTCCCTTTAGGACTTGGTGATTCATAGTCTAGTTTCATCCAAACTTTTTTCTGCATTTAGTTGGTATGCTGCACCCAAACTTACCTGGAATCTTGCAATTTGACTTAATGCAAAATGCCATACTTCAAGTTTCTGAGCTCATTCATACATTACTGCCCACCTCCTGGCAGTATTCTTTATGGAAAGTATCATATTTGTAGTGTGTGTATCTTTGTTATATGTATGTTAATACAACATGTTTTGTGAAATTTCTTATTAAATAGCTTGTTATGTGCACACAGAACCTCCTGTGTAGCTAGGCATTCCATATTATGTATGTGTTTAACTAGCAAGATATTGCTGACTTTGGTAACCTAGGAGTCAGTGATCATGATTCTTGCACATCCTATTTGGTGTGCTAGGATGAGGGCTCGAAGTGTTGTCCTCAGTGTCTGGTTCTTAACTCCTAAATCAAATAAGGGACTGGCATTAATCTAATTTTTCTGTTTTCCAGAAATCCCAAAATTATTTTTGATCACTTCCACTTTCTTCTTGAATGTCCTGAACTCATGTCCCGATTCATGCATATCATAAAAGCACAGGTAAGTTTTGAGAAAACAATGTAAGTTTCAGTATTTATATTATTTATAGTCCATCTTTATCACCAGGACTCAAGGCGGATTACACAGTATCAGTCAATGCAGTCAATAGGATGATACCTCAAGAAGCAATATAATAGGAGAAATAATTGTAGAAATTTGAAATGGAGTTGTCATCTGAACAAAACATAAGTATTAAACGTTACTTGTTAAACAATGCAGAATATGGCATTACATCAGCAGAAACAGTGCATTTTCCTGAGTCAGTCTGTTACAATGTAGCCAGTTTCCTTTATAAAATTGCCATTTTGAATTGTACATAGTTTGCAAAATGCCAGGAACATGGGAGCTTTCCTAACTGACCACATCAGGCAGTGTTGGATCCCCAAGCATCGAGAATAAATCCACGTTTTCAAGAAAAGCAAAATTTATTTCAAAGCGTTGAAGACATACTCAAACACGTTCTTTGTTAGAACGTCCCAGGAAAATGACGAAGAGTGAACCGAAACTTAGCAAAGAAGTCCGCCCAACGAAGTTGTTTTGCGTTGAGAGAACGGGGGGATTTCAGCATTTCAAGATTTTTATGGTCAGTCCAGACTTCAAATGGCAGTTGAGCCCCCTCCAACCACTGCCTCCAAGTGGAGAGAGCCAGCCGGATTGCCGATGCCTCCTTCTCCCAAATCCCCCAGTTTCGTTCAGCGTCAGAAAATTTTTTAGACACAAATGCAAGGGGGTGTAAACGACCATCTTCCCCTTCTTGCAAAATAGCGGCCCCCATTGCCACATCCGAGGCATCAGTTTGGACAATGAATTTTTTAGTTTCATCAGGGCGCGCCAGCACTGGCTCAGAGGTGAACATCAGTTTAAGTTTCTCAAAAGCCTCTGCGCAAGCAGGGGACCATTTAAGCGGGGCGCCTGGTTTCGTAGCATCAAACCCCTTCCCCTTGGTCTTTAGCAAATCAGTCAGAGGAAGGGCAATTTGAGCGAAATTCTGGATGAAATTTCTATAAAAATTGGCGAATCCGAGGAACATTTGCAATTGTTTGCGGGTCCTGGGGGGTTCCCAGTCAAGTACAGCCTGTATTTTAGCAGGGTCCATTTCCACCTTCCCCCCAGAGATGCGATAACCCAAAAAGTCAATGCATGTCTTGTGGAATTCACATTTTGACAGCTTTGCAAACAGGTGGTGTTCATAAAGTCGCTTAAGGACCTGGCGCACCAATTTAATATGCGACGGGAGGTCCTGAGAGTACAGCAACACGTCATCAAGGTAAAGGACCACTCCTTTGAACAAGAACTCATGTAGGACCTCATTGATTAGGTTCATGAAGACCCCCGGAGCCCCTTGAAGCCCGAAGGGCATAACGAGGTACTCAAACTGCCCCAAAGGGGTATTAAATGCAGTCTTACTTTCATCCCCCTCCCGAATGCGCACACGGAAATATGCATCTCGGAGGTCAAGTTTCGAGAAGATTTTGCCCTTGGTGGCCTCAGCTACCAAGTCCTTGATTAGCGGGAGGGGGTAGGCATTGGACAAAGAAACAGCGTTCAGACCCCTATAATCAGTGCACAATCTAAGCCCCCCGTCTTTCTTCTTTCGGAAAAGTACAGGCGCGGCGAAAGGGGAGGAAGCCGGGCGAATGAAACCGCGGGCTAGGTTTTTATCAATAAAGTTCCGCAGTTCAACTTTCTCAGCCGGCCCCATTGCATAGATTTTACCTTTAGGTAATTTACAGTCAGGCAAAAGTTCAATAGCACAGTCAGTAGAGCGATGGGGGGGCAATTCGTTAGCTTCATCTTCGCCAAACACTTTCGCCAAGTCTCTATACTCTCGAGGCAAAGAAGCTAACTCTTCCGGCTGCAAAGCGCCGCAGGGGAACTGTGCGGTCGGCTGGTCCCCCCACGAGTCCAACCAGCAGTGATCTACACATTTAGCCGACACAAATTTGACAACCCCTTCTTCCCACAAGATGTAAGGGTCATGGGTAAACAACCAGGGACTCCCCAGTACTAAGTCGAACTGTGATTTAGGGGTAACAATGAAGGATCTGGATTCCCAATGATCGCCAGCCCCCAACCGCAAAGCCATAGTCTCGTGTGTACAAGGTTCCATGGGTGCCCCATCCATTTGGGTAAAAATGATGGGAGACTTCAAGGGGACTATCCCCGCTTCCAGTGCCAATAACACTCTAGGGCTGATGAGATCCCTCCCACACCCAGAATCAATCAACGCTCTCACCCTAACGTGGGTCCCCAGGAGCGGATTCATTAACGAGACAGTCACGAAAAACAGGGAAGGGGTTTCTCTCACCACCTTGGGCGCAGAGTTGGAATGGCCGTGTCGTTTTGCGCCTCTCACAACAGGCCGTTGTCGTTTTCCGCCGTTTCAGCCACCACCTCCTCTTCTGACTCGGCAGCAGACGGTTCGATTCCCTCCGGGCCTTGGGCCGCCTGCAGAGCTTTGGAGAAACGCGGTTTAGCCATCCCCTTCTTCACCGTCAGCGGTGTCTTCGGGCTTGGAGTAGGCGGCTTGTCTTTTACCTGACGGCTGCCACAATCCACAGCGAAATGCCCCTTCTCCCCGCACTTGAGACAGAGCCCCATCTTCATACGTAGTTCTCGTGCCGATTCCGACAGGCGTTGAGTCTTGGGTCTGGAGGCACTGGCAGCGGCGGGTCTGTTGGTCGTAGCAGCCAGGTCGAGTTTGATGGTGGTGAGCCGATCTTCTGCATTTTCAGCTTCCTGGGTCCAGGCCATCAGGGAGACAGGATTGACAGTCTTCAGAACCGTTTCTCGGATGTCTGCGTTGAGTCCCAATCGATACATCTCAGCCAATATATGATCAGGGTAGTCTCGGAGCTTTGCTGCTTGCTTGTGGAATTCCAGTGTGTACTCGCGAACCGACTTCTTGTTCTGGCGGTAGGTGCGGAGAAACGCTTTAGCTCTTTGGCTCGCGTTGACATCTTCAAACCGAGCCCGCAGCGCCCACATGAATGCTCGCAAATTCAAAAGTTCCGGACCGCGGTCATTGTGCAGTCCCACATACCATGTGGCGGCGTCTCCTTTCAGTCTCGCCGAGATGACATCAATAAGGCCAGCTTCATTTCGGAACAGGTGTCGGCTCTCTTCTACGAATTTGTGCACCCTCACCGTGAAGAAGGCGAGTTCCTCTGGGTTGCCGTCAAAGGTAGCCTCCAGTAGATCTTTGGGTCTGGGCCGTGGAGGCCTTACCAACGGTCCCAGCTGACCCGGAACTCCCCTGAGAGGGAGACCCGGACCAACCGGTGGCCCCGCTGGCATTGGCCTCATCGGTGGCGGCAGACCCGGTCCCGGCGGACCCCCCCGGCATCGGCTGTTGCACAGGCCCTTGCTGAGGCGGTCCCGCCGGCGGCTGGACAGGCACCTGCGGCGCGGGAATTCCCGGTACTTGCAGCGGAGGTCCCGTCGGCGGCTGAGCAGGCACCTGCGGTGCGGGAACTCCCGGTGCAGGGACAACTTGTTGCTGCGCGGCGTGTGCGTCAAGGAAATTAGCCATTCTAACGTCCATCATTCCCGGCAGAGCTTCCATTACATCCTGGAATGCCCTCAACAGGTCCCTCACCGAGTATTCCAGTTCCTCCAGTCGTTCCCCGGTGGTTTCCTCAGGGATCGGATCTCGAGGGTGGGAGTCCGGGGGTGGGTCATAGTCTCCTTCCGTTTGGAAGCCCCCGGCTCCCTCCGAATCCTCTACGTGGCCTCGGGGCCCCGATGGTTCGAACATCCACTCTTCGAGGTCTTGCTCAGAACACCCCTTCTCCGAGGTAGCCCCCGGCTCTGGGAACAATCCCTTGTCAAACAGACTTTCACGTAATCCGCTCCCTCGACGGGAGTACACCTCTCGGGTGCCCTGAGTGTTGTACATAGTCCAGTCATCCTGCTGTTGAGTCTTCCGCGGACCCCAGTGCGAAGGGGTCGGAGGCGGCCAAGACAGATGTGCAGGCCGGCGGGGAATCGTTCCCCCCACGGCACCCTCCAGCGAGGCTGCCGTCACCAAAGGAGCGGAGGTGTGTGGGACCGATCCTGAATCCCCCTCCGTTTTCGGTAGGTCTCCCTCAGCTCCGCTCATGATCTTGCCAGATTCGGAACGATAGGAGAAAGGGAGTTCTAACAATATGTTGGATCCCCAAGCATCGAGAATAAATCCACGTTTTCAAGAAAAGCAAAATTTATTTCAAAGCGTTGAAGACATACTCAAACACGTTCTTTGTTAGAACTGGGGATACACAGGTAGGGCGAGCATAATAAAGGAAATTCAAACAGATACATATCCAATGAATAATATTCCCGCTGGCGGGCTAATGAAACGGTTGCGCGCCCAGTCCATGGGAACCAGGCAGAACATCAGACAAAACACAGGTGCAGTTCTCATGAGATAGCAATAGGCAAGCATCACAGCATCTTCTCCCCCACACATCCACCAGTAGTTATCTTATGCATTCCAGCACAGAAGCAGGATAATAGAAACAAGCCGGGTGCAACAGGGTAAGGATATGTACACAGAGGTCACAGAAAACAGAATGGCAGCTTGCTGACAGGCAGCCATTCCACAGGGTGGGGGCCCACTAAAGAGAAGTTGTGCGTATGGGGCAGTTATTGATCTCGCCTATCTGCAGGGTGGCACTTACAGAAGGCCCTGCTCAGATCAGCGCAGTTGTTGCAGTGGAACATAGGTGGAAAAGTAGTCTTACCAAGGTCTTTGACTTGACTTCGGTAACTGATGGGCAGTCAATGGAGCAACTACAGGTTGGGTGCAACAGGCATGCTCTGCCTAGTTCTCAGTAATAACCCAGCTGCAGCATTCAGCACCATCTGGAGTCTAAATTGATTTAGAGGGAGAGACCTATGTAGAGTGCATTATTGTAGTTTAATCTCAGTGTTACTGCGGCATGGATCCAGGTTGGCCATATCAGCTGAGTCAAGGGAGGGGGCCATCTTCTGGGCTTAAACTAAGTTTCTGCAGCTAT